ATGGTTTTATTAATACAAAAAAGTATTTATAATTTTTGTATTACATACATATAAAATTAGATTTATACGTAGCCTTATGAAAGTTTTGGAATTACGCTTCAAAAAGTTATTCGAACTTCAAAAAGTTCTTCTCTCTCGTAAAATCTTCAGTGATTACAATATATTCCTAGTGAGTATCTTCAAATTCCCTCTTAAGCTTTTAAAAAAGAATGTAAATCCTAATCTTTAAAATTTCTGAAATGTAATATTTGAACACCCAAATAAGATTTAAGATGGAAATTCAGCTTATCGTCTGAGAAGAAAAAATATATATTCCGGATGATAGCTTTCGTACAGAGTTCTTCAGTGATCCTTCGATTTAGTTAACATCGAAGAAAATATTCTTAAAAGTTGAATATTTTCATATCCAAATATTTCAAAAAGGAGCGTGGAAAAAAATGATTTTTAAAGTCCATAAAAATTTTCTGATGCAGCTAGTGCATTTTTAAAATGGATGCATTGCCTATGTTTGTAGAGTTGGAATGTCGTACTAAAAGTACTTTTTAAAGTACTTTTAAGAGAAGGGGAACAGTACTCAAGCTGTATAAGATATGAACAATATTTTATTCAAGAAATTCTAGAATAGAAAATAAATAGTAAATATATAAAAATAAAGATAATGGTCACATCATATATTCTAATTTTAAAAGTTTTATGTTTTTATTGTTGATATATTCAATCTGTTTTAAACATTTACACCCATTAAAAATTTGGTTGCCAACTTAAAATGCAATTTAATTCGTTTATAATCGTTTACTATATGTTAAAAAAAATTTTATTAAAACTTTCAATGCTTATTCTTCAACAAAAAAATCAGATTAATGCATGTAATAGGTAATTTATTTTGCTCCATGTATCATAAAGTAAGTATGTTCAAAATGTAGAGAAAACATGGAAAAAAATACAGAACAATGAAAAAAGGGGGGAAAAGAAAAATAATATTAAAGATAGAAGTAAGAAGAAACCGGAAAAAAATTAAAGGAAATAAAAAATTTAAAAAAATTCCGAAAAAACAGGGGGGGGAATGAAAAAAATCTGGAAAATAAAACATAAAATCTTTTCATCAACTCACACGATTATATCCGCAAAAAAGAGCGCTCTCTAATATTGTGTCAATACAGCCAAAGAAATATCAAAATATATATACATTCTTTTTGATAAAGAATAATAGTTTAAAGAAATAATTAATGTAAGCATCTACTCTACGGTGAAAAAAATCTATTCTAAATTTATTAGAATTGAGTTCAGAAACGTTAAATTCCGATTATTAGATCAAACGTTATTCCCGGTGGTCCTTTTTTTTGCGTACTGTGCATGCGCGTAAAATGTAAGAAAATTCTGAGAACAAAAAACAAATAATTCGAAAATTAATTTTATTTTTTAAAATATATAATTTAGAAAAAAAAGGTAAAATATTCAGTGAAAAGCAAAAATTTATTTTAGTTTCGACCATCAGCATACGAAAAAAGTACTATAACTTCATTTCTAAAAATCAGAGGTCAAACTTCTCAAGTGTTTAGGAAAGCTAATGAACTAATGTTCAAATGTGGACAAAAATAAATAAGAAATTCTGGTCGAGATTGCCGATTTTTATCCCGCCGTAAGCTTTAATCCATAAAAATAACAAGTGTATAAAAATTTGTTTTACTTCCAATTCCTAAAAGTTGCCAAAAATACATATAAAAATATAATTTGTTTCCATTTATCCACGTTTAGTCTACTTTTGCAATGTAACAAAATATTATTCTTGTCAAAAACATACTTTACGGATCAAAAGCCCATTACTCTATAAGTATTGCACAAGTCAGCAAAAACACGATTTCTTTGGATTTATAAGATATCGAAGCTTGATGTAAGGATTATTAGCTCTAAGTGACTCTAGTTTGATCTGTTAGAGCCTGATGTTATCATTTAAGGACATATAATCCATCCAAAAAGTAAGTAACCATTAATAACTTAATTTATTATTAAATTTTACCAAGGTGTCCTGCCACTGCGGAATTCAGGGGCTTTAGGTTTTCCCCAAAACCTTTAAAATTGCTACAATCAGCTCTTTTAACAACAAATTGTTACAGCTAAATTTTAAAAAAATATTCAAATTTAAGGTTCTATTTTTTTTTCACTGACTAAGTTTTCCAAACTTCGGACTCTACTGGAAAAAATTTAAATTTTGCTCAATTATCGTTTAACTTTCATCTATAATTTTTTAAAGCCCTATTTAATTTTTGTTTGCTGAGAGAGATTGAATATAATTGCGAGAAGTTAAAACCGAAAAACTATTTACGATTTTGTCCTCATTATTATAATTATATAAGTAGACTGAGCACGTTTTGATTAATGTGCTTAAGTGCTGATTTAAATATGTTTACCACGAAATGCTGAGTAATGAGGTTTTATCGCTATGTTACTTTATGACAAAGAGGCAGTTTTTGATAATCAAAATCAAAACCATTATTATGGAAAAAATATACTAAGAAAAGGTGATAAAAAAATATTGCTTGTTAAATATTTTTAAATTCGTGATAAAGAATTACAGGTAAACAATACACTGCAAAAAGAATCCGTTTTTTCTTCAGATTTTCTCTGTTTTCATTTCTAATCATTAAAGGTTTAAGATCGCCAGTTTAAATTCTAATTTAGCTACGCTGTTTTGCCAACTACACGATAGCTCTACATTTTTTTTTCAAATAATTTTACGATTATATTCTATACTTGCTTTAATTTTTCAGAAATTATTTAATCGTTTCGAACATCGACTTTATATTGTCAAATTAATACTCTACTTGATTAGTATATCGCTTTAGATATAAATTTTTCACCAGACATTTTCATACAGGTGAGCCTCTATACTTTTAAATGCTTTTATACTTAAATATTATTTTAATTGAACAAGACTTGAGATAAAAACAATTTAAGATTTTTCTTCATAAGGAGATACGAGGAGCCACGATGGCTTAGGGAATTGAGCCTTCCAATGAGGTGAACCGGGCTCGAATCCCAGCGATATTTGGTCGATGCGAAATCCGCATCCAGCTTCTACCGACCACAATGCTGACGTAAAATATCCTCAGTGGTAGACAGATCATGGGCTAGAGTCCCCTTGCTGTCAGGCTGATTGTGGAAGGTTTTAAGTGGTTTTCCTCATCACGTGACGCAAATGCAGGCTAGCTCCATCGAAAAGTCCTCCTCGAAGACAAATTTCTCCCAATACTTGATCAAGGAGCTCCCTTGACTTCTGAATTGGGTTCAAAATTACAAGGATACGAAGTTGAACATTAGTAGTCGCAAACCCAAAAAACTGTATGTCGACTGCTCAAAGACGGTTATACAGTAAATTAAAATGCTATACTAGAACTTCTTCGGCAGCTCAAGGAACAGATCGTTCGCCTTTCAATGAGGTGTCCCAGGTTCGAATTGTCGTACAAATGATTCTCACAATGATAATAAAGTAACTTTATAAAGTATTTGTCAAAATAACAGTACTTATCTGCTGAAAAATCAAGCTTCTGTTTTTAAATAACAGTATTTTTTTGAACTAAACGGCTTGCACTGGCACAACAGCAGACAGTTATTTTCGATAAATTTAAGACATTTTTTTACAGTGCATGTTTGTAACTTCCATTACTTTTATTTTAATGATAATTAAAGAAAGCAAGATCTGCTTGTGGAAAACTTGATCGTAATACGTAATAATCTTTTTAATGCTTCAACTACCCATTTCTTTATTATATGATTACGTCAATGTTCATAATACGTAACGGCAATAGGATATCTGCAAGTGAAATAGTGTCGGTATCTCGATCCGGATTGGTTGTTGAAACGCGGCATTTATTTAAGCTGGCATTTGTACTTCCTGGTCTATTTCGAGTAAGCCAAGACCATCAAGTATCAATTCTCCTAAGTGACACATTCTATTTTCTATCTAAAAGATTCTTTCACAAAGATTTCAATTCTTTAACCGTATATTTCTTAACTAACACAAAGACAGGCATGAAGCCATGTAGAACATAAACTAATTATGCATCGAAGTTGCCAGGTACACACAACAAAAATCTATCACGGTTACAATAAAATAGATACACAAATAATAAATGTAGAAGAGAAGGAATTTTATTTCAATAAATTCGATGTGTGATACGACACTGCATTTAATTTACTTCCCATTAGTTAACATTCTAACTTATGTGGAGAAACTTAGCTCAACTTCAACACAACATTTTGCTTATAAACGATCAACTGACGTCATAGGTCATATGTGTGGGTATCTGTGGTCTTCTTCTTCTTCTTAAAGAGCAAGTACCCAATCGGGAAATGTTTTTGTATCATAACATCTTATTAAATCTGGTCCCGCAGTGGACTAATCGTTAAGACACGGTTCACAGCAGATCACCGAAGTCAAGCATCACTGACTGCGGTCAGTGTGCGGGTGGGTGACCACTCGGGTCAGTCTGCATAGGGACCGAGGGTGTGCGGTATGGGTCCTCGTTAAACTGTTCCACCGTAAAGTGCTCGACTTCGCGTGGAGGTCGTTGGGCTACGAAGCGGGGTTGCCATCTTCTCTGCAGAGGATCGAAATTGTGATGGCATGTCTACGGATCATCCTCAGGGATATTTCCCAGACCATCGCCAATAGCCCATTGCGCAGCTCTAGTGCGACGTAAATGAACTACAACAACAATAACTTATTAAATCTGAAACTGACGCATCTGTAAAGAAAACTTGACTGCACGTTACTTGACAGCACTTGACGTTGACACGTTATTATACACGTTGCTTGAGATAGGACAGCGACATACTATTTATAAATACCATATCATTTCACGTAATTTTGACGTTTCAAAGTTAGTAACTGATACAGTTACTCTTGACGCTTGATCACTTACACTCAAAAATTGCGATTAAAAAAAAACTCATACAAACACCCAGATAAAGTAAATATGAAAATAAATGAGTTAACTTACCCTGATTGTAGTTTTTTCAATTGATCTCTTCTTCTGAGTTTGATAGCTCTGTGTCGAAGGGCACAAATGAGGGCAAAAACAACGATTGGAAATCCAATCACTGATGATAAAATCGGTATGACCACTGGACGGGGGTCCAAAGACACTGAAACAGATGAAACATATATTTCAATCTCCACATAGTCCAAAACTGAAGAATTACATACTTTTATATAAATTTATTGTATTAACTCTTTTTAGCTATCGAATTTGAAGAGGTAAGGAATGTTTAACCCTTTCCTTCTCGCTCCCGTGAAAATGACGGGCTGAGGTTTCGCCCTCTATTTCTCGCTCCCGTGATATTTCTGAGCTGGAGTGTTTGGTGGTAACGCTCCAATGAGAATAAAACTAATTCATTTCTTTTGCCCGGAAAACATTTTATTTCTCATTTTACACACCAGATGGCAGTACCAGGATATTTTTAAGGTAATTGTAGATAGTTAGTTTATTTTAAACTTGATATCAGCACTAATCAAATACGTGTATTTGAGATATGTTAACAAAATAGGCACTTTTATAGCCGTTTGCTTGAAAATTTACCGATCGTTATGGGGTTAATGCAGAAAATTATAGAGGTAAGTTAGGCAAGCTCGAGCGAAGCCTCTTGGTTTTGCTCGCAATAGAAATTTAAATCGTTACTTTGGTAAGGATTTCACACTTGGATAAGAATATACTTAGATTTAAATTGAAATCTAAGAATGATTTTTTAATATTTGCTTAGTTTTTTTTCTTCATAACCGTTGTTAAACATCCGAAGGCTTTTTGACGGAATTAACCCGTATTTGGATTACATGGAGAGGAAGATCTCGAGAACATCCTACGATTAGCCCGACTGCAAAGGTACTCCAACCCATGATCCAACTACCACTGAGGATATTTCACGTCAGCACTGCGGTTGGTGCAAGTCAGATGCGGATCCGTGTACTGTAACTTATTACATTCTTAAAAATTGGAACACAAGCGTTGTTCTTTATCACAAAACTGCAGCTGTACTTTGTATTATTATTATTCAGTATTTTTAGAATTGTCATAAAGAACGTTGGCTGTTGTTGAAGAAACCTTAATCTACAATCATGAATAACGATGAAGAGCTCACAACAGTTATAAGAATAAAATATTATTCGATGAAGAGGATGTTTTCAAACGGCGACAGAGGCAGTAAGTCTGTTTTCACAGTATTTTTTGTTTGCATTGTACTGTGGTATTTATGTCGGACACGCAAGCTGGAAAATCTGGCTGTTTGAATGTCCTTTTTATTTCAAGCCTACAATTAATGAGCCTGCAATCCTCGTTGTAATAAGACTAAGCAAATTCAACCTTACATTTTCTATTCAGCTGATCAGGGGAATGGGCTGATTGCAGAAAATCTAGAAATGCTAGACTTAAAGACTTAATTAAAAAACGTACTTAAAACTATAATATAATATAATGTAATGTAATGTAATGTAATGTAATGTAATGTAACGTAATGTAATGTANAATTAATCTGTAGTGTGTTTTTAGAATGTATGACGTATGAGGGTCATTAATATATAGATAGATATTTCTCTTACACGGCGAAAAAAAAAAGCCTCATTACAACTCCCCGAATGGCAACGCTATAAAATCGACCAATGATTGCCCCTAAAATGTCACATGCCAAATCTAGCTGAGGTGTCTCAACATACAGTGCTTTTAAAAACGGAAACTGAAATAACCAGAGAGAACATTCTCACCAAATGTCAGCTATCATACTATCAGCTGCAGCAATCTCATACTATTAAGCTAGGCAGAAGTGAGTAGTTTTTGTCCATAGATCTCTATTTTAGTATTTTGTCGAAAGCGCTTTTTTTCACGAATTTATATACTACAAATTTATTTGACGATTAATTATAGCCAAAATTTTAACCTTTTTAAAGAGATATCAGTTTTAAAAATTTTTTCTTAAGATTTTATACTATAGCACATTTATATTAGGTTTAACGAATTACATGTCATTTATTTGAATTCAAATTTATTTTAATGACTTAGTATTTACTAAAAAGATGTAATTTTTCTTTTTAAATAAAAAGTTGTTATATGGATTTGAGTGATTGTTTTGAATTCTTAGAATTTTGTGCATTTGCAATGTACCTAAGTTAGTAGCGAGCGAAGAGAGCTTGGTTTGCGATGCAAACCATATAAGATTGCGTAGCAATTTTCGGGGGTTGGCGAGCATTAGCGAGCAGCGAGTGCAGCCCTCTAGTATAATACATAACATAACATAACATAACATAACATAACATAACATAACATAACATAACATAATATAATATAATAATATATTATATTATATTTTATTTACATATTTACATTATATATTTATATTTTATATAGTAAATTATATTGCATACAATCATTGGTAAAAAAAGTAATAAAAGTAAGTAAAAGATAATCGCTGTTTGTGCTTTTCACTAAATAGAATAAATGTCATCCCATTAATCTATTAGAAACAAAGAAAATCCATTTAACCAACAACTTTCTTTAACTGTACTTGTTAAGAAAGAATGAAATATTTCTTTTTGCAGACGACCGAATTTTGCGGTTAAGAGTCTCAACTCAACTCATAAAACATTCTGCCAAGTCTCAAAAAGGCCTCAAATTTCTATTAACTTGCACCCCAATACTCTTTAATATTGATCACTCTCCACTATCTATGGAACTCTCATCGTATTTCCCGAAAATGGCTATTTGTGATTTATCGGAAAAAGCAAGGAATAAACTAAGGCGATGATATGCTGAAAAGGAACGATATTATATCTTTGTTTTCTTTGGTGTTCATGCTTATAGCTTGCGCATATGTTGAACTCATCTATATTGCTGGTTTTTTTTTTCTTCCTCTTAAGACATTGCTTCTTTAAATGAATTTCTTTTATTGTTGGTTGAAAATTAAATTTAGATGTTTAGCTGGCAGATTTAAATACATTTAATCAAAAATAGTTTTTTCTTTGTTTTTCTTAATTTATTTCACTATTTTCAGGTTCTTTTTTTCATACTCATTCTGATTTTTTTTTAGAATACATGAATGAACATTGCAATAATGCGTTGGATTCACTTCTTTATTTGTTTTACCTTTCATTTCTTTTGAAAATTTTGTAAATCTTAATAAATAAAAAAACTTTTGAACAAAATAATATCAGAACTGTATACATTTGAAAGCGTAAGAATAAAAGAAGCCGGAAACGTTATATAAAACTGATGATTCATTATCCATCTTATTGAAAGGAACATTAAAATCTTCAAAATGATTCAAATGACAAAAAAAATCAGAAATGCTTCCTACTTTCTTCTCGCAAACAAACTACACTAATGGTGAATGTTCATTGTAAAATTTTATAACAAATGTCAAAATTCAGCATGCACGCTGGTGGTCAAATTTGAATAATTCACTGTCAAATGTCGACATTTAACATTCACACTGACGGTGAGAATAGATTGTTAAATTCAATGACAAACATCAAAATTCAGCAGGCGGAATCGTAGTCAACTTTGAATAAAAAAAATTTGCTGACAAGTGTCGACATTCAGTGTGCACATAAATGGTGAAAGTTACTTTAAAAATTTAAAGACATTTATCAACATTCAAGAATAAGTAGGGTGCTGGCTACAAAATTTAACGGTAAATGGCATAATTGAGCATGTACATGAAGTATGAAATTTAAAAGAAATTCCCTGACAAGTGCATACATTCAATATGCATGATTAAATATAAAATTCAACATCAAATGTCAATATTCAGCACGCGCACGAATGGTTAAAGTTAAGTAAAAAAAAATCATTGAAGGACTTCAACATTCAGCTACTACACAAACAGAGAATGTAGAAAACAAATTTTTTTATTTTGACATTATTTCTCCCTTTTGAACTCTATCAACAGTGCATGTTGAATGTCGTTATTTGTCGTGGCAAGTATTAGGAAAATTAAAAAGTGTTTTTTGTTAAACGCTCACAATCAGTACATACTGCTGAATATAAACATATCTTCGCCTTAAAGTGACATACCAAATGTAAGAAATCTATAAAATAAATAAAATAATAAAACAAAAAAAAAATAATTAAGCAATTACAAGAAGGCACTGTTTAATGTTGACTTTTACTAATTTTCTTTCACACCGAAAAATATCCGAAATTTTAACAGTAATAAAGCACAAATTAAAATACCTAATTTTCACTTTGCACTTCATTATTGAATTAAATGTAATGTTAAAAATAGATAAAGAAAAGTATAAATTAAAATACTTAAAGACAAATATTAACCACGTATTTAAAATTTTACATTGTTTTTGTTTGTTTTTAGCTTACCCTTCCTTCATATTGATAGTAATTTCATTTTAAGTAAACTCAATAAACAATTTTCATCAGCAACTTAGAATAAGTAATTTTTAGAGCTTAAATTGTTTTTCGTATAACAGCATCCTTTTTCAGCTTTACTTGTTTACCATCAAATGCATCGTCAGAATTGCGCGTTAGAACATTTTACTCTCAAAAATTTGCTGAACGTAATTAAATTTTGTTTCAATTTTCTTTTCTCCGGAGTTTATTAAATTAGTTTACAGATTAAAATGGAAAACAATTTAATATTCCTTTATTTCAAAGTGAATATTAACAAAAGTTTATAATATATAATGTATTCTGTTGAAGCTTAATGTCTAGAAATAATATACACTTTGGCTTGAAAAGTTTTAAAAAATAACTTAGTTATTAATAAAGCTAATCGATTTAATATTGTTTGCAAATAACAGTTTTAGAAAAAGTTGTTCTTTTCAAACTACAACATTTTATATAAAGTTATAGAAGTTTCAAATGAGTTAGAACTAGAATTTTTGATAAATAAGAAAAAATTTCGGTTTAGAAACTGATATATTTTATAGTAGTATACATTCTTTTTATAATTATTTGGAAAGAGACATTTCAATATATAATTCAATATTAGTATAAACCAATTGTTATTACTAATTGAGAAAAGTTGTTTTAAAAATAGTTAAAGGGCATTTAGCAAAATTAATATGAAAATTTGGATTTCATCTACAAAACTTAATATTCCAGGCTTTATAAAAGTTATTTAAAACAAATTTAAAAATATAATAG